CACACCTGTCATCCTAGCACTTTGGGAGGCCGAGGCAGGAGGATCGCTTGAGGTCAGGAGTTTGAGACCAGCCTGAGCAAGAGCAAGACCCCGTCTCTACAAAAAGTAGAAAAATGAGCTGGGTGGGCATGGTGGCATGTGCCCGTAGTCCCAGCTACTCGGGAGGCTGAGGCGGGAGGATGGTTTGAGGCCTGGAGTTTGAGGTTGCAGTGTGCTATGATGACGCCACTGCACTCCAGCCTGAGCAACAGAGCGAGACTCTGTCTCAAAAAACAAAACAAAACACCAAAAAACCCCAAAAACTTCCACTTCATGGCCTCCATTTAAAATCAGGAGATTTCACATACAATACAGATATCTGGCTTCTCTAGGGATATGGGAATATCTGGCCACATGGGCAGATGCATTTATCAGGGCAACAGTCATCTCCCTCTCTCCTGCGTCACCGTGCCCAGCAGGTCTGTTATTCATGGCATTAACTGCACCTGCCCAGTCCTAGGGGCAGCATTTGACTTCACAGCTGCTGATATACAGGGACAGCTCTTCTCCTAACCTCAGCTTCTGGCCTTCTGTGGGGAACTTGCTATGAACTCACTTTCTGAACCCCTCCTAGAAGAACTCACTGGCTCAGACCATCCAAACCAGCAGGTGACAGCCTCCCCCCAGTCATTCACATTTTACTGTAGGTTGCATTTGTTGTTTTTATTTTTTTAACCTAATATGCTCTCCTGATAATGACAAATGAACGTGATCTTAATCAGGGGTACATGAGGCAGGTATTCCTAGAGAGTGCTGGGTGGCAGAGGAAGCAACTAGGAGTGTAATTAATTTACTGGGTGGGTTCCCAAATGGGGGCCTGAGAACTTTGGGGCAGAGGGACATTGCTGCTGTTTCTAGCTTCCTGGAAAGGGCCTGGCACCCTCACAAGGAGGCCAGGATGAGCAGCTCAGTCCTTGGAGTAGATTAATCCAGCCTCAACCAGTTGAAATTAGATGTGTGTCTCCTGAAAACATTCAAAGACGCTTGCCCCAAATTTTCAATCCCAAACTTCCATGGGAAGGGCAGTTTCTAAACATGCAGAATTTCTCTTCACCTCCCTCCCCTCCCCTCCAGCCAGTGCCCTGGTCAGTGCTGGTGGTGATCCCTTTGAGATGGAAATATGGCAATTAAGCCAGATGAAGCAGCTTGGCCCTGAACTGCGCCAGCGCCTCTGCCTTGTCATGGCAATGCTTTGGGCTGCTGTTGAGCTCGGGGGTTGACCTTTTCAGAATAGGAGGCAAATGGGGCAAGGAAAAAAAGGGAAATCACAATTGCCACCATTTATTGAGCACCCGGGTACCCAGTGTCAGGTCTTACTTTTGTTTTCTCTTGTAATGATCCCAACTACCTTGGGAGTTGGTTATTATTAACCCCATTTAATTGAAGAGGGAAGTAAGGCTCCAAGCCAACTTGCTAGAAATTCAGGATTTCAACCCGAGTGGGTCTGATGCCATACCCCAGGCCTTTCTGCTACACCGCAGTGTTGCCGTAATGTCTTCAACCTCATTCTGCCATCTTCTAGGAAGCAAGAGTGCAGGCTGAGAATGTCACTCAGGCCTTCTCAGTGGAAAAGTCTCTCCTGTTGCTCTGGTAGCAAAGTGTTCTTCTTTTGGAGATTTTAAAAAATTGTTTAAATATTTTAAAAATTTTGTTTAAAATATTGAGTACATATCTAGGAATATGTAAAACATTTGTGAGGTCTAAAGAATTCTAATACACCAAATGTCACCATTTTTTCTGACTCCTGTCATCTCCAGGCTCAGAGACTGTAAGTAAACATTGTTTAAATATTTTAAAAATTTTGTTTAAAATATTGAGTACATATCTAGGAATATGTAAAACATTTGTGAGGTCTAAAGAATTCTAATACATCAAATGTCACCATTTTTTCTGACTCCTGTCATCTCCAGGCTCAGAGACTGTAAGTAAACATTCTAGACAGATCATCGGTTGCAACAGCTTCCAGAGCCCTCTTTGCTGATTTGTCAAGCTACGGACTAAGTGGTAAATGTCAGGTGCCGCCTCTGCTGCCAGTGGGCCAAGTGCTCAGGTTGCTAGGACACCGGGGGCCGAAATGAGGCAAGGGGGGCCCGGGCTGGAGTCCCTGCTCTAGTACAATCATGCGGGCTGAGTCTGTCTATGGCCTTTAAACCTGCTTCGCTGGTTCTGTCTAGACTATGGGGTTGGGACGGATTTGGAAAATGTGCCCAAATTGGCCCACACCTATTCAATACCACGCAGAGCTGTTTCTAGGCCAGCTCAAGCCCTCCGTGCAGGGACGCGGCCTCCGTCACCCACCTGCTCAGGGCGATCTTCTGGTGGAGCAGAAAGCCTCGCTCGTAAGGCCAGGGCAGGCCGGCCTCGAACCACTCGCGGCAGCGTAGCACCGGCGAGATGCAGGCGGCCCCTGTCACGTAGCTGGAGGAGCCGCACTCGCCCAGGTAAGAGAGCAGCAGCGCCGAGCCGGAGCCCTCGCTCACCGCGAAGAGCGGGGCCGCCGGGTGTCGGAAGCGGATGTAAGTGACTGCCTCCTTGAGGTCGGACGGGTCCCCAAAAGGCTGCAGCCGGGGGCTGACCAGCGGGCAGCCGTGGTGGCCGCGGCGGTGGAAAATGACCGGGTAGTAGCCGCGCTCCAGGGCGAGCAAGCAGAGGCCGAGGACGTTGCGGGTGAGGCGCCCCCACGCATTGGGGATCACCAGCAGCACCGCTGGAAGGCCCCCGGGGTTGGTGACCCGGCGGCCCCGACCACAAAGTCCCACGACCCAGTCCAGGGCCACCAGCCCATCGTCCGCCAACTGCAGGTACTCCCGGGCCAGCTCAGGCCCGGGCCCCACGGGCAGGACGAAGTGGCAGAGGGTCTGCAGGTGGGGCCCCGAGAGCCAGGAGCGCCGGCCGGGGTCCAGCGCCGCCGAGCGTCGCAGGGCGCGCAGCAGGCACTGGGCCAGCGCCGACGGCTTGCAAATGAGGCTGCACCCGCCGGGCAGTGGCTCATGCCGGTCGCTAAACCGGTCCGTGGGGCCTCCGCCAGCCACCTCCTCCTCGTCGTCCCGGTCGGGGGCCCCCTGCAGGGTCCTCGCTCCGACAGCGCGCTTCCAGGGGCGCCAGAGCCGCTGGCCAAGCAGGCTGAACAGGGCGAGCACCGCCAGGAGCAGCGCGAGGGCGGCGCCCCACGGCGGCATGGCGAGTCTGGAGAGCCCGGGCGGGCGGCGGGCGGCGAGGCCGTCCGTCCCCTAGTTGAGCGCCCCGCTCTGCCCGCAGCTCTGCCCGGCAGCCGCCAGCTGCCCGGGGCCCTCCCGCGCGGGCGGGCGGGCGGGCGCGCTCCGGATTGGCCGCGGCCCCGCAGAGGCAGCCAGTTCGCGCCCGGCTCCCCTCGCCCGCCCCCGACTCCCGCCCCCGGCCCTTTGTACAGCTATTGCGACAAGCAGGAGCAGAGGGTGAAAGGAACGGGGGACACAGAGGAGGAGTGAGGACGCTCCAGCGAGCCGGAAGGGAGTGGGGAGGGCACGAGGGAGAGCGGTGTTGGCAGCGGAGAAGTGGGGAGACCAGGAGACTGGGGCTCGGGGACCCGGGAGAGCATCGGAGTCCCCTGCCCCTGCCCCTCCGCCCCGCTTGGTCTGCGGCTGGCAGGGCAGACCCTGGGTCGCTGCGCCCTTAGAGGCCAATGTTGAGAAATAGCAAACGGGAGAAGTGAATAAATCGTAGCTCCTGGCGCTGGCTTCTGGGCTCCCGGCCGCGCTCTCTGACGTCGGTGTTCGCCTCCCCACCCCAGCCCGGACACCCGCAACTGCGCACTATAGCGGCCTGGGGGGTCCGGCACCGGGCCTGCGAGGGCGAGCACGGGCGCGGACCCCAAAAGCGGGCTGCGGCGGGAGGCCGCTAGTCAGTCCCTGTCCCGCCGACCGCCCCCGTCCCGGGAGCGTGGGGCTCCCCAGGAGCCTGGCTCCACATAAAGGGAATCCTCGGCGCCGCTCCCCAGGACTCCCCAGAAGAAACAACGCCAAGTCTCCGAGAATAAGTTGGGGGAAAGGACGCACTCAGGTGCCCTGTGAAGGGGGTGCCGTGGAGTTCCTTCATCAGCTCAGCAACTGGCAATTACTGGGGAAGGGGGAGGGCAAGGAACCCGTTGTAAGTTGAGGTACGTGGGAGACGACTGAAACAACACGTTCTTGCTCTATTTCGAAGTTTTGGGTCGTGCATCTCAACCCTCGCCCTCTACCCACGTCTTTCCTCCAAATCCTGGAGCGGGTACCGGAGGCGGCGCCCCGCTGCAGGGAAGGTCCGGCCAGCGCTCCTCGCTGCAGGAGAGGAGGCCTGTGGCTTCTCCGCCTCAGGGCGGCCAATGTCTTTCTGGATGCGCGCGGGCCACCGCCGGACGAACGACGAGGGTGCGGGTGGAGGTGGGGAACAAAGCAGCCGCCGGGGCAGCTCCGGCCTCCCAGGGCTTCCGGGTCTGGAGAGGAGGAGGTCCTGAAACCCTCCGAGGCTCCCCCGGGTTCGAGCCCTATTTGCTAGGGCGGGAGTGGGATGGGCTGACGGTGAAGCTCTAGAGCTGGCACCCTCTCCCTTCGGCGACTCGGACTTCACGACTCTGCCCCCCTTGTAGTCGCAGATCACACTGACGAATCTGAAGCAGGTTTGCCAGCGAAGCGTACCCGTCTCCCCCGCTTGGGCCACCCAATCCACAGGGATCCCATTTCCCGCCCTACACCCCGCTCCTAGATCCCAGCCAGGCGTAGCAGCTGTGCTCTGCAGGCCGCAGAGACGCGCCGGGACGAACCCCCGGGCAAGGGAGGTGGTCCCCGCCTGTCCTGCAGCGTGGTGCGCGCTGGCCGGGCTCACACTCAAAACTTTCCCGGCTTCGGGTGTAGGACGCGTGCGCACACGCTCGGCGGCTGTGGGCGGGCACCGGGGCGGGGCGGGGCGGGGCGGGAGTGCACGGGCGCTGCGGGGGCGCGCGAGGCAGGGGGCGCGCGGTCTGGGCGAGGGTCGGGAACGGGACGGCGCGCGCGAGCCCCGGGTGTACGTGGGCCAGCTGGCGACTCCGGGGCGGTGGGGCCGGGCCGGGTGGCGCGCGCTTCCTCACTGGCGGGGGCGGCGGGCCGGGCTGGGATGGCGCCTCCTCCGCCATCGCCCCAGCTGCTTCTAGTGGCAGCCCTTGCAAGGCTCCTGGATCCCAGCGAGGTAAGGCGACCGGCTCCTGGGAAGGCTTCGCCCGGGATCTCAAAGCGCTTTGCCGAAAGTTCGTCCTGGAAGGAGTGGCGCGCCGAGAGGGGACTAGGAGTTCCCCCGCTGGAGGGCTGGGCCTAGAGAGGGAGAGGGCAGGGCCCTCACCGCGTCCAGTGCTCCAGCTCTGCCTGCGCCTTGGACCCACAGGTGGTGGCTGGGCTGGCAGAGGAGCGGGGAGCTCGCTGTCCGGAGGGCTTGTGGCCTCTGCCCCCACAGGTAGGAGCCCTGGAGGGCCAAGGGAGAAAGGGGTGTGAAGGGGTAGCCCAGTCCCGCTCTGGCCTCGCTCCACTCTCCACACTCACCCTCTAGGGATCTTTGCAGGTTCCTCCTGCTTTCGTTTGCCAACTTCTCCATCCCGGCCTGGCGCTTGGGTCCAGCTGTCCCCTCTTCACCCAACGCACAGAGTCCCCCAACTGCTCTAAGCTCTCTTCTTTCCCCATGTATAGGTGTCACCAAGAGTGAGGTACACACAGGTGAGCCCAGGGCAGGTAAGTACAGGCAGGGATCCATCCTTGGCGCCTACACCTGGGAACAGCAAGCTCCTTGCAGGCCTCCTTTGCCTTTTCTGCTGATCAGCTCCAGTCCTTACCACTTCCCTCAGGAAGAGACAAGGTTTCTAGACCCCCTCCACCTCCCACCCCAGGACAGGTGGCCCAAGGACAGTGAGCTATAGGCCTCTGTCCTCTGCAGTGCTGCCTCCGGAATGCTGTTGAGTAGCTGGCTGTGTGGGTAAGTGGAACTCTGAGGGTAGTAGGAAAACACAGCCCAGGCCCTCACTCTCCTGTGGGACTGTGGGAAGTCCCCTGACTCTCTGGGCCCAGTTTTCTGTAAGAGAGGATATTGATTCTGCCCCTTCCTGTGAGGAGGGAATGAATGGTGTGGACGGCACAAAGCTGTGTCGTGTGCCTCTGGTTAGTAGTCTCCAAACTGGGGTCTGCTTCCATGGTTGCCCTTCTGTCTTCACTGCTACCCGATCCCTTTGGCTTTCCCTTTGAAATATCTAACCTTGTTTTAATCCTCTGTAATAGCTCCAGGTGAAGAGACATTGCCTCATGCCACCTACCAGATTCCTTTCCTCAAACAGCCCTTTCATTAAGTCATTCCACTATTCAGAAACCATCAATGGCTCCTTATTTCTCACTTTACCATACTCTCCTGCATGTCTTTTCAGGCCTAGTTAAATAACCTCCACCTGACCTCTCCAAATCTTTGATTCCTCTCAAGTTGATCTGCTCACCACATAAGGGCGTGCGTGCCAGCCTCATTCCCGCCGCAGTGCCTTTGCCTGTTTATTCTCTTCCACACCCGGCCCATCCCGACCTGGAGCGTGCAGTTCCCTCCCCTCCTGCCATCCTTCCCCAGCCATGCCCAGTGCAGGAGTCAGCCCTCTCTTAAGACCTGGCCTGATCGTGTCAGCCTTTATTCATCCCCTCCTCCAAATCTGTGTCTTACAGTTTAACAACTAATCACTGAGTTTTATTAGTCTGCTCTTTTGTGTAAGTTGTTTCTCTGAGTTTCTTATACATCCACTGCAAGTTTAGTCCAGAAGTTCTCTTTTGGCATCTCCTACAGCATCAAGCACATCGCTGAGCACCAAGTCAACTCAGTCAAAGAATAGTAATTGATGAAGTGTTTCCATCCTGAGCTTGTGCACCTGCTGTCTGTGTGCCCTGTATTTGGATCCTCTTGGGATCCTGACTGTATAGATCAGATTGATAGAAGACCTGGTCTTCATTTGGGGATGCTTACGGTCTAGATGCGGGGTCTGTAGAGCCATCGTTGCAGGTGCAGAGAAGTGTGGCTAAAGAATGTGGTCTGAGTCTGACAGGGGTACCCAAGCATGCTGTCTTCGAAGTTGTAAGCTTTGAGGAGTGGCACTTGATGGAAAGGAGGGGAAAAGGGACACTCAGAGGCAAGAGGGAGTGCATGGCACAACCTAGGGCCGGTATCCCAGGACTTGAGGGTGGAAGGGCCATCTGGCCATCCACAGAGTCCCTTTAAACTGGCCCCAATTCTTGCCCGATGTCTGTTCCCTGACCAAGAAAAAAAAAAAAAACAGCAAAAAAACCTGGCCCCAGGACGAGAGAACTTGAGATTCTCTGGCAGGGACCTGGGCCTGGCTTGATATCTCTGTCCCTTTCCTCTAGGCTGAAGATGTCACCTTCCTCTACCACCCCTGTGTCCACCCCTGGCTGAAGCTCCAGCTTGCCCTCCTGGCTCATGTTTGTGTGGCCAAGCCTTCACTCACCCCTGACCCCAAGCTCACTCGGGATCGGGTAAGTAGTTGATGAAAGGTGGTTTGTCTGGCACTGGCAGAGGCTGCAGCCCCGTGTGCAGGCAAAGGAGAGTTCAGGGGCTTCCTCTTGCTTGTTCCCCACCGTCATCTTAGCTCTAACAGTTACCTCCTTTCATAGCCCCTGGTGCTGACAGCATGGGGGGTGGCGCTGGAGATGGCATGGGTAGAGCCAGCCTGGGCTGCCCGCTGGCTCAAGCGGAGGCAGTGGCGGAAGCAGAGGAAGAAAGCATGGTTCCACTGTGACAGCCTTTTGGGGCCCTCTCCGTTGGTGCCAAGCCCGAGCAGAGGACGGCTGTGCCGGAGAGGGTGTGTGCAGGTGAGGGGTGCTGGGCCCAGGCTTGGTTGGTGGAGGGGTTGTTGGGTCATCTGAGCAGGGCAGCAGGATGACCACCATCTCCTCTCCTTTTAGGCCCTGGCTTTGGCCTTTGCTCTGCGGAGCTGGCGACCACCTGGCACAGAGGTGACATCTAGAGGATTCAGGCAGCTCTCTCCCAGTGGTGCCAAGAGGCGGGAGCTACGGGCTGCCCTTGGTCTCCAGCCCACTCACTTAGACCCGAGGGTCCCCTCTGCTTCCCCCTGGAGCTTGAAGGCCAAGCAGCGCATGTCGGGAATCCTGGGTGAGGAGGGTGATACCCCATCTGTGCCCACCGTCCCCCTGCTGCCTGGGGGGCATGAAGGCAATGCTAGCTCCAGGACAGAGGCTCAGGTACCAAACGAGCAAGGCAGCCCAGGCGGTTGTGCCTGTCCGAATCAGGCTTCCCCGGCCCCTCGCGCAGCAGGGCCTCCACGGCCAGCCCGAGGCCCCACCCCACGCACGGAGGAGGCCGCGTGGGCTGCCATGGCCCTGACCTTCCTGTTGGTGCTGCTCACCCTGGCCACGCTCTGCACACGGCTGCACCGGAACTTCCGAAGGGGGGAGAGCATCTACTGGGGGCCCACAGGGGACAGCCAGGACACAGTGGCCGGTAAGTTCCAGCCCCCTGTCCCACCCAGCTTCCCTGCCCTCCCTGCCTGCCCTTGACTACTCCCACCCTGCCCACAGCTGTGCTGAAGCGGAGGCTGCTGATGCCCGTGCGCCGGGTCAAGCGCTCCCGCCGGAGACCCCTTCTTCCACCCACGCCAGACAGCGGCCCGGACGGGGATAGCTCCGAGTGACCTGCCCAGCCCCGCCGCTGTGGCGGCCGGGCTCCTCCTCCTCCTCCTCCGGCTGCCAGGCGGTGACCTCTGCCACGTGGACCGCGCGCCGGGGCGCCCCCTGGCGGCAGACAACGCCTCCTGCCTGAGCATCGCGAGGCTCCCTTTCCTCCTTCACTAGTTGGGAGCGGGTGGCCAAGGGGAGAAAAAGCTGTTCTGCCTCCCTTGCCAAAACTCCTTGTATTTCTAATTAAATTATTTTAGTAGAGTCTGGAGTTGAGCTTGTGCATCTGCCGCAGAGGAACTCCCACCAGGACGCTGGTTGGTCCTAGTTCATCCAGGTAGTATTTTTTCTAAAGGCTTGGGCACCAGCCAGCCTGCTTCCTCTTGCCAACCTGGCCCTAGACACGGACTCTAGGAGTGTGTTAGTGGGACAGTGGTGTTACCTATGGAAACAGTGTCATTCCTGAACTCCTACCAGGTGCAGGGTTGGGGGTTCTCGGGGCACTTGGAGTCCTTCCCCTTTTCATGTCAGTCCCTCCACCCCCACTCTATCAGCATCAGAACCAGCACATGGTCACTTCTTTATTTTTGATACAAATGTACATGACACGTCTTGACAGCCCACCCACCAGCACACAGGTAGGGCCTGGCCCCTGGCCTCTTGCAGGGCGGGAAGAGCTGCTGGCGCTGCCATCTGCCTCGCCCACCTTCCCAGGCTGTGGCCAGGTTCCCAGGCCTTAGAGGGTGGGACCACAGCAGGTGCAGGTAGTGATGGTGGGTGCTGGCCTCGCAGAGGTTACGGGGAGGGGACTCTCAGCTCCACAGCCACCAGCTGAGTCAGGGACCCCGGGGAGCCAGCCCCAGGCTCAGGTGCTCAGTCTTCCGCTCCGGCCAGCACACAGTTCCCCTCCACAAGGGAGCAGGAGGAGATGGAGGGAAGAAGTGGTTTCATTTTAAGTTCATAGAGAAGGGGTACGAGTGGAGAAGTGGTGAGGAGAGGCAGCGGGCAGGACCACAGCTGGTTACTCTGGTAGTCCCCAGCCCCAGGTGGGGGAAAGGGAGGCCGACCCCCAACGCTGGTCCCGCTGCTCTGGTTTCCTCACCCCTTGAAACTCCAGATGGACCAGGCCTCGGGAACGGCACTGCCGCCCGCACACTCACACGCAGGCACGCAGGGACACTCAGTTACCACAAAGTTAAAATTAAGGGGTGGGGGAGAAGAGAGAGAGAAAAAAAAAGATTTTCCAGTGTCTGCTGCTGGGGACCCCGGCACAAAGGTGGGGGCCTGTGTGCTAGGCAGGGGCCGTTTGGCATTAAAGGAGAGCAGCAAGGGGCTGGTGGCTACAGGGCAGGGACATCCACAGAGATTATGTACAAAGGAGGGGGATGCCCCCGCTTGGCCCCCAATAGGGCTGAACTGGCTCATGGGGGTGGGGTACATGTAGGGGGAGCTGCCCCGCTTGGAGTGTCCCCACCCAACCTTTTGCTGAGGGTGCCCCAGAGAGCAAGGGGCTGGGAGTGATGTCTTGCAGACCCCTGCACGCTAGGAGGGGGGGATGCTATATACAGGGGGGAGGTGCATGGAATGTGGGGACAGAAGCTCCTGCCACCCCACCTCCCCCTCCTTGGGGGCTCGAGGGGGTGGGCACCAGGGCACCTGGCTGCCAGGGGAGAGTGGCAGCACTAAGGGCACTTGTGCCAGTGGCTCTGTTGGGGTGGGGATTAGTGTCTGGAGTGGCCCAGTTCCCGTGGCCAGTGAGGTCCCAGGGTGCAGGTGAGGGTGTGGGGAGAGTGGTCACTGCTTCTTCTCTCGGGTGGTGATGGTGACCAGCTGCTTGGCAGCCTTGGCGATGTCATAGGCGCACTGGATCACCTGCTGAGTCAGCAGCTGGAAGTCCACAGGGGCGCCGGGCTCTGGGGGCACTGTCTTCCGGCACTCACTCTGCAGCCGGTACGCGCTGGCGTTGAGCAGCCGCAGTGAGCTCCGCACCGGCTCCAGGGCTGGCCTCTGGAGGGAGGGAAGAGGAGGGCTGGGCCTTGGACTTTATGCTGTGAGCCACAACAAGGGCCCAGCGTGTCCATCCACGTCTCCACCCAGGTACGGGTCAGGTTCTCTACGCCTGCCCTAGCCTGAACCCCTCCCGCTCCTGATCCTCTCTGTGGCCCCTGTACCTTTGGGAAGAGGGAGGCCATCTCGGTCACAGCCAAATGGATCTTCTCTGAGCAGGGCACAAAGCTGTAGGGGGAAGAGAGCATATAAATTAGGGGGGCTCCCGAGGAAGGTTCCCAGGGACAGTGGAATATGGGGCCCTCTTGTCCCCTGCAACACCCCAAGCGCAAACAGGAGCCTGCTCCCCAGCCCGTACCTGTCATGCTTGAATTCCTGGGCTGCCCGCAACAATTCCTGAATGTTCTTGGTGACCTGCTCTGTCTTCAGGATGACATCCTCGGTGCTGGGAAGCCCAGGGTCGAGGTCTCCATCCAGGCTTTCCAACTCTGGGTGGAAGTCTTCATCTTTGCCCAGCTCCAGAAACCGCTTCCCTTCCAGCCTGATGCCCAGGTTTGAAAGAGAGACATTCCAGCCATGGGGCCACTCACCTCCTCCGCCCTCACGCGCTCTGGGGCCCTCTCAACCTCCCCTCAGGGTGTGAGCAGAGCTGGGCTTAAGACCCAAGGGAGCCTCACCCAAGCAGCGGGTCCCCACTTTGCGTGTTCTCATAGTCGCTGTCGGCACCACTGCCGTGGCGGGAAAGCTTGCTCTGGAGGGGGTAGGAGGGGGTGGTGGTGAGTGCACAGCTCCCCAGCCCACACAGCCGCCAAGCCCGCCCCTTGGGCGCTGGGTGAGGAAATGTTACCGTGTGTCGGCTTCCCTCCTGGGAGCATGACAACAGTGGGGAGGAGGGAGTGAAGGGCACAGCTGAGGCCGACACCCCTTTCCGGATCTGCAACCCAGGGCAGAGCTGGAGTCAGCGTCTCCTCCCCTCCGCCCACCTCCCAGCTTGCCCTGAGGCCCGGCACTGGGCATCGAGCACGGAGCCTGACTGAGCTGACTGCCACTGGGACTTGGCACCTATTGGCTGGAATTGGACCCACCTTCCCCAGACTCTGCTTACCCGGTAAAGGCCGGCAGGAACGTGCACCGAATACATGGCGTCATCCTCTAGCTCCTGAGGGTGTTGCACAGTGAGCGTCACAGTGGGCCCTGTGCTGACCCCAGCCCTGTCTCCCCACGCCTTGAGACCCACAGGGCAACTCACAGTGCTGTGGAAAGGCTGTAGCCGGGTGGTGAGCTCATCCCCAGGAGGGGCCCCAAAGGGCTTCAGGGCGGAGCCTGGTTCATACATGGAGAAGGCCTGGCGGTCCCTGCGGTGGGTGCTCCCCCCAGGCCCCATGGGTGTGTGTTCTGCCCGCTCGCTGGGCAGCGGGGGTGTGGGCACTGGCCCTGGCGGCTGCCGGAGCTGCAGGTTCTCTGCCTGCAGCTTGTGGATCTGTCAGTGCAGGGTGGTGTCAAACGCTGAGTCCAGCAGGCCCCTGAACCTCCGGGTGAGGGCTATCCTCCCTCCAGGGGTCCTGGGGGTCCATTCCCACTGAGGCTGCAGCCCTCACCTCCCTCTGCAGCCTTCGGAGCTCATCACTCAAGCTACTGTTGACCTTCATGAGCTGTTGCACCTTTGCCTCGGAGGTAGCCAGGGCCTTCTTCAGCTCCAGGTACTCCTGCAGCGTCACAGCCCCATCGGATAGGTCGGAGGAGTCCATGCTCTGCAGACAGAGACGTAAGCCGGTCAGCCACCAGGGGTACCGGAGCAGATACTCTTGGGGGCGGTTATCGAGGCTGTGACCAGCCCACTTGTCCCCAAGGCCCCTGGGCTACTAGAAGACAGAGCTGGGCCTTGATGGAGGCTTGGGGTGCGGGCGCTGGGGAGGGACAGTGCTCGGACCCGGGCACGGTTGTTCCGAGCGGTGCCAGCGCTGCGCGGGGGCTCCTGGTCAGTGTCCTCGTCGGAGGCCACACTGTCGTAGTCGTGCTGGTCGTCGAGGTCACTCTGGCTCCGCGCAGACAGCTCGAGGTTGTCTGAGGACACAAGGCTTGTCACTCAGGGCTCACTCAGCCACACAACCCGTCTATCCTATCAGCCCTACACAAAGGGAGCCACAAAAGAGAACATCCTGCAACGGTGCCCGCGCCCCTCCACGCCCTCCCACCTGTGGGGCTGCTCAGGCTCTTGCCCTGCTGTCTCCGCTTGGCCTCACTGAGAATGTCGATGATCAGGGTGGCAAACTCTCGGGCATTGAAGCGGGCCAACTTCTGTCGCCCCTGCAAGGCAGAGAGGGCCAGGCTTGCATGAGGGACCCCTTGTGGCTGACACGGGGGTGAGGGCAAAGCTGCAAGGCGACGCCCTGTCATCCGACTTAACCACAGCTAAAAAATCCCAGCCCAACTTCCCCCAGCCAGTCAGCAGCCAAGGTCAGCCCCCAGGCCAGGGTCAGGCATGGTACAGAGTCAGGTATCTATGGGAGCTCTTAGGAAGGGGCTGGAACACCCACCATAGCTGTTAACCAATGCTCAAAAGAACAGCCTCTTCCCCCTTCCCAAATCCCAGTGCCAGCCAGGCCCTACAGGAGACCTTGGCGAGGGGTGCAGAGCTGGCCCAGGCCCCAGCCCACCACAGGCTAAGGAGGGACCCAGGCAGAGGGGAGACCGCCCCAGGCCCCTGACCCTGCCCTCTCACCTGATTCCTTGTGGCTGAGTATTCTGGGTTAACAGGCAGGAAGGGCACAGCACTGCGCTCTGTCACCAGGGTGCTGTGGTTCTGGGTAGCCAGCCACACTGTCAGGGAGGGACAGGAGCAGATCAGCTGCGGTGGCCAGGCCCCCACAGTGGAAGTGGGGGAGTGTGGAACACACCCTTCCTAGCTGTCCCCATGCCCACTGAGCGCTGGTGTTCAAAACAGGGTGGTCTTCAGCGTGCAGAGCTAGGCTGGGTCGGGGCGAGCCTGGGCGAGGCTGGCCGGGAACTGATGAAGGGAATGAGGCTAGTCCAGACCCAGAGTTTGGGGTGGAATCTGGCTGTGGCCAGGAAGGAGTGATGCAGGGGGGCGGAGCGGGACTGGGGAGACAGCCAAAGTGGGAGGCTGCTGAGTGGAGAGGAGCCCAGTCTGCGGGAAGGGGCTGGGAGAGGCAGGCTGGCAGCCTCCAGCT